TGGTTTATTTTATCTAGCCTTAAATTATATATTAATATTTTTAAATGTAAACTCAGGGAGTAAAAGTTGGTATAATCAATATCTTACATAAGTAGTCTCATCTCTTTTTAAAAAACAAAAAGTTGGGCTTTAGATAATTGCTATTTCATTGGGAAGTTATCTAATATTTTATGGGACAATTTTAATAGACCGCAGGAGTTTTGAAATACTGTTTTTTCCTTGAAATATTTGCCATCTGGTTAAAATAATAATTTCTCCTGGAAAATAAAGTTTTTTGAAAGTTTCCTGAAAGCCTATTTTTAGGAAATGAGAATTTGAAATCCAGTGTCTTTAAAATAACAAAAACATATCAGGACAAGAATTTGAAATAAACTGCAGAAAATAGTGCTGATGTGTATATATGGATGTGTGTGTATCTCCTATACATGTATATGCTTAAGAGCATGAATATATATATAATATACGAATTCTATATAATATATATATATATACACATACACACGTATGCAGGCAGTAGACCTACGTTTTGATACACACACATATACCCACTTCGCTGGGCCCAAACATGCACTAGCAAGTTATTTTAGGGCTCCAACTCTTCAGAAAATCTCATTATGTGAGGAGCGAAGTGGCTCTGCGGGGAGCATTATGGAAATATCTGGGCTTGATTTACTGAGGCTGTTCACATTGGTGGAATATCAACTTAACAGAGAAAAGTCTGCCCAGGGCGTCCAAGTTACCAAAATGAAAATTGGCAATTGAGATGATAAGAACGTGGCTTTCTTCTGCGAAATCACTACAGGTAACAGAGATAACATTAAATAACACACATTCTATGCACCAAGAACAATGTTTTATGTACCGAGTCTCTTATCCGTCTCTCCTAATGACTTCCCTTAGCGGGTTGTTAGTACTTGACAGCAGGTCTCCGTGCGGGGAAATTTTCTCCAATTCCACATTCAAAGGAGGTCCATCAGAGAGCATGATTGGCAATTTTCGTCATAATCTGCACATTATTAGCATCAAAACTGACGTGGCAGTAACACTGGTGGGTTTTGATGTGCCTTTCTTCAAGTTCAAGGAAACCCCTCCAGTAGCCCGAGTTGGCAGAGCGGGTCTCAGCAACCCAGCGGTGGCTTTGCAGAGGCGAAGGCGCAATAGACATGCGTGAGAAATATGCCAAGAACCATTTTACCCCAGGAAAAGGAAAACGAGGAGGGAATGAGGGTGAGGGAAGGAGAGAGTTCGAACTTAGAAAAGTGTCTAAGGAAGTGTTTCAGGATCATATCATATATCTAGAGATTCAAGTATTTCTCAGATCGAGCGGAACCCGGTAGTTGGCAAACTGAGCTGAAAACGCCTCTCCAAATCCTACAGTGATCTGTCAATCTTGCCCTACCCTTGGCGTTCCCTTCTTTCCCTTCCCTGGCTTGGCTTTGGCAACCCATTAGCTATCACTTTTTGCATAAAACATGAAAGATGCTTCCATTCCTTGAGCCCTGAAACCAAAGAACGAAAGAGAGAAAGGAGGCGGACGGAGGCTGAGGGAGTGCGACCGCCACCCATTCCTGGGCTTTGTCCTTGGAGGGGGGGAAGGTGGCCACAGTCCCACTGGCCTGGGTCCTGCACGCGGTAGACAATCTCACAAACACACCTGCAGCCGCCCACGCTCTCTATCCGCCCTCCGGGCCTTCTCAGACCTCCACTCTGCCTCTGTCCTCGGGCAGGGCCCCTAACAAGCTAACAATGAGAGAAAAATTGTCACCTCCCTCCACCCTCGTTTAAAGAAAAGAAAGGAAGGATGAGAGAGAAAGCAGCAGGAGAAGCCTCGAGGGTGACTTTTCCCTCACAAAGCACTAGTGCACACCATTCCTCTCTTTGTTTTGGTTCTCCGTCGCTTTCGGCCACCCGGTTCAGCCGAGTAACCGGAGTCTGAGGACGCACAGCCGGGCTCGAGACTCAGAGCGGGAGGATTGTCTTCCGGGAGTCCAAGAGCTCAGAACAGAGGCGGGAAGCAGGGCCTGGGCGGCCAGAAACAGAAGAGGGGACAGAGGAGAAGCGTCTGGGTGGCAAATACAAAAATAGAAATAATTTGTATGTGGGGGTGGGGGTGGGAGCGCTCTCCAGACTTTCGCGCCGGCTCTTTCCCCCCCAATTCGGGGCAGGTTCCCTTCGGCCTCTCTCTCCCCGGGGCGCCCCCTGCTGGCAACGGTAGCAGCGGGCAGCGGGCAGCGGGCAGCGGGAGCAGGGGCGCACGCAGGGCGCGAGGGCTCAGGGGGCGCACATGGGGACTCCCGGGCACACGCACAGGGGCGGGCGCGGCCCCCTGGCGGCGGCGACGTAGTTATCTGGTAAGCGGCGCCTCGTCCCTCTGGTCCGGCGGGCTCACGGCGGTCTTGCTAAGCACAGCGGCCGAGTAGGGCAGAAAGCCGCTCTCGGAGCGCGGCGCCGCGGCGCTGCAGCCGAAGTCCGAGCCCCCCGCGGCCCCCGCGCCGCCTCC